GGAATGGGTTATAGAAGATACAATTGGAAACTGGTGGCGTCCAAACTTTGAGCCACCTCAGTACCCATATGTACCGCCACACATCACAAAACCAAAGGAGCACAAGAGATTATTCCTGGTACAGCTGCAAGAAAAAGGTATGGCAACAAGTCAAAGAAATTTATTGATCTATAATCTAAATTGATCTCATGAATGCATTTAATTAAATTTTCTTTATATATTTAGCTCTCTTTGCTGTACCAAAGAATTACAAATTAGTCGCCGCACCATTGTTTGAACTTTATGACAATTCACAAGGTTACGGTCCCATAATTTCATCTTTGCCACAATCACTGTGCAGGTAAGTCCAAATAAAATCTGCTTTATATTGTACAAAGAAATAAAGACATAGTTTTATAAAATAATTTTTATGTTTCAGATTTAATTTCATCTATATGTGAAGCTAGAATTAGACAAATTTGGCGTATTTTGTTCAATTTAACAAAATCTACTACAAATTTGATAAATGTATGTATGAGATGTATGATGGATGATACTTGATCTGTGGTTTATGTATGTATAATATATGCATTGCATTGCGAGAATTAAACTATGTTTTAAGTAGTATTTATATAACCCATCTATCATTTCATCAACCTTTGTATATGAATGTAAATTTATTTTATTTTATTTTTTTAAATAATACAATGAGAGATGTACGAGATAGAATGCCACAATAAACATGTATAATAGTCTGACACAATTTTCATTAATTTTTAAACATTTTTATTAGATTAATTTCTAAATAACTAATTGTAAATGTAACTAATTGTCAAAATAGCAATTTTAGAATAATCTTCGTACAGTTCTTATAATGATTATAGAGTATTACACTATTATGTTATAAAAGATCACGAAGCAAACAATGTATATTTTCCAAAAATAAGATCTGAAAATATTTTCTAAAAAAAAATTATATTATATAGTATTAATAATTTTTATTTCTGTTATAATAAAAAATACACCTTTTAATTCAAAAAAATTCGTCATTTTTTTGATAATTGAATGGATTTATCAAAGGTAACTATTTAATATATGATAATTTTCAATATCATCGATATTGCTTTGAATACAATTTTATTATATTTTAAACCCCAAATATATTAAGAAATGAAATAAATGGCAATATACATTATTTTACCATTATTTTAATTTTAATTTTAATATTTGAAAACAAAAAAAAACATATTTAGTTATATATAAAATCACAAAAAAAAATTTTATATGTAGAAAATTATTAATTATTCTTGTCTTTGTTTATTATTTATCACAATGTTCTGGTACAAGTCATTTATTTTTTTTTTTAAATACATATTGATATATACTAAACATATATAAAAATATAACAAAATTATATTATTATGTATTATTATGTTTTCCACTTTTAATATAAAAAATATATATTACGATTGTAAGCTTTACATTTAGAAAAATATAATTTATGTATCTTATATCGAATCACATTTGTGTGTGCATTCTGTCAAAATTAAAAATTCCATCGATAAATCTATTTTTTTAATTGTATTTTCTGCCTGTTTTTTGATACTTTATTGTGGTATATATGTTCTTTATACCTTTTACATCTTATCAATAATTAAATTTATATCTTATCAATAATTAAATTTATATCTTATCAATAATTAAGTTTATATCTTATCTGATTGACATCATTTTTATATCTTATCTGATTGAAATCATTTTTTGTTAATATCTACTGTATCTTTTTTATGTTATATAATATTTTCAGGAAATTTGTTTTAGAACATGTAATAACTTTTATTCCTATCGGTTCTTTCTCTCTTCAAATGTGCAAAGTATAAAGAAAATACAATTAAAAGTAAAATTTAATGTATATATAGTTATATATTGTATATTGTATTTATATGTATATATAGGAATATTCCCAAATTTATTATATATTTTCATTCAGTTGCTAATATTTTTGCGCCCTCAATTCCATTTTAATTGGAATGAGTGCTAGGCACTAGCTGAGTCTGCGAGTAAAATAAAAATCACACAAAATAGGAAAACTTATTTTTGTTTTTCGCATAAACTTTTTATGTAGCTTGTTAATATATTCCATTATCTTCTCCTACTAACAATAAGTAAAAATAAATAGTACATTGGAGAGATGGAAAAAGAAAGTTTTCAGTATGATTTCTTGGGGAATAGATCATACGGATCATATGGATTTGAAAATAATAGCTGTTTGCTCCATAGTATAAAGTTCAGTGGTCTTGATACCTAACACTATGTAGTCCCTAATAGTACATGGTTCTAGTTTTATGAAAAGGTATGCACTCCAATCCTTGAGCGTACTCTCGCCGGTAATCCCACAAGAAATGATCGATGACGATCGCGTTGACAGCCGTCTTCGGATCTAGATCCAATTTTGGATCGGCCACGATCAATCTTCGTACCTCGTCGCAAACTTGCTCGACCTGATACCCAACACTATGTAGTCCCTAATAGTACACAGTTCTAGTTTTATGAAAAGGTATGCGCTCCAATTCTTGAGCATACTCTCGCCGGTAATCCCACAAGAAATGATCGATGACGATCGCGTTGACAGCCGTCTTCGGATCTAGATCCAATTTTGGATCGGCCACGATCAATCTTCGTACCTCGTCGCAAACTTGCTCGACCGCTTCGATCGAGCAAGCACGTATCTCGACCTCCTCCTTGCTGCCCTGCTTCAATGGCACATCAGACTCAAGTTTGCTCATGAGCGAATCGCTGTAGCGCATAGCGCCGAAGTGTACGAGAACCTGGGGGATACGGTAATCGGCGAACATCACAATACTGTCTATATCGTGGAATTCACCAAGCCCGCGTCCCTCGAAGCAGGCCCATATGTCGCCTATCAGTATCTGAGCTCTCTTGTAGATGCTAATCCTGTGACCCTCGTAATCCGCCTCGTCCCGGTACGACTCGAATTCGTTGACAATCAGCTTGAGTAGCTTCTCTGCAGAACCTTCGCACGACCTGATGCATTCCGCGAATGTACCTTGATATTTATCCAGCAAAACCTTGCCGGCCTCGTGCAGATTCTTAATTCTGTCCTGTACGAGCGGAATGTCAGTCTCACCGTCGTCGCCTCGGAAAATGATCTCAGCGTCCTGTTGCGTTATCTGCGAGTAATACTTGGGATCCCACATCGGCTTCCCTTCATCGATGGCTCTTTTGACAGCGGCGCAGAACGCAAAGTATCCGGTTTCACCGTCGACCTTCCACTTCTTCGCGCCCGTCTCGGTCCAGAATGAAAAGTTCAACGTATCCAGGACGAATATCCAATCCGCCGCCCTAGGATCATCAGGCTTAGGATGAAATTTGATCTGCGTAAAATTGCCAGGGCGAATCTTACTTGTTTTGATACCGTCGAGGACCGCGGACGCCAATCTCTTGATACCTTCCTTCTCGATGAATACGTCCTTCGCCAAACCGGCGACTAGCTTCCCGGACTCTTTCGGCATCAGAACCATGATAAATCTTGTCGGCTGGATTGCCGTTTCAAACTGTATCTAAATGACTGCGAGATGATTGCAAAAATGCAATTCGCTCTGTTAAAATGCCTGTCTAAACGGCAACTGCTCTGGAGCTGATAATACCGGTCGATTTCGAGCCTCGAGAGTCAAGTGACATCATCAACACTTGACTGGGATGATGAAAATACGACGTCTTGTGTAAACTATAAAAAGAATACAATTTTGTTTTTTTTTTTTCTCATACTGTTAATAATAATAACAGATAAGATATCATGAAAAATACCAGTTTGTTTGCGAAGCGTCGATAATGTAGATAGTGTCGTCGCGAGGATATATAAATTAAAATATTATTTCAGAATTATAAGTATGATGCAATCATTGCATCAAGATCCCCGAGAACAGCGGCAATGACTTATTATTCCTGTTTATGTCAACATTCCACATACATATAATTATCTTCGTTCCCATCGGGTCCACTTGACATCTACAGGCGATTGCGAATCTCTTACATAAAAGATAATAAATAATAACACGTATAAAAAAAAACACATATTTTTCTTTTTTACGAATTTATTTTAAATTTTCATATTGACATTTAATAATTGCTCTATTAGTATATTTAATTGTTCTCTATTTTTAAAATTATTAACTTTCTTAGGATATTTAGAAGAGCAATTATTTTGCCAAAAAAATCAATAGAAAATGTTGATTAAATTCTTTGATATAAATTTATAAATATAATAGAGCTGTTATATTACATTTGAATATTTGGTTGGCTGCTGAGCAATAGTTCCAACAGACTGATAGATGATGACATCACTTATAAAATGATTAATTTATTAATTTTTAATTAAAAAAATGCAATAAATTTTTAAAGTAATGATGGAACGATGAGGAGCAATTAAGGAGCAGTCGTTTTATGTGGGACATAGTTGCAGAAAACTATTAGAAATATGTTTTTCAATGAAAATTATAGTTTTTTGTAAATATTTCAAAAAATATTAATTTTAAAAGGGGAGCAATTGTTGCTTCTGATGGAGCAATCGTTTGAGCTATTGTTTATTTAAAAATTTAATCTTCCAACGTCAACTTATTTTCGGTCTGTTATTGGTTGCACTAAAGGCCGCTGCACATGAAAAAATTTAATCATAACCGCAAGATCGTAAACAAATCAACCAATCATAGTCGAAATTTTTATTACGTTATTAGAATGCTTGATTGTGATTGGTCGATTTGCTTATGGTCTTGCGATTACGACTAAAACTTTTTCATGTGCAATAGCCTTAAATACGTTCTGAATACAGGCCTAGGCCTCTACTTCTACTACGCATACTCGAGATTTATCACAACACTGTATTGGAGACCCGCGAAATAGAGGTTTGGTTACATTGAAGACGTCATAAATTTGAAGTTACATCTGATAAAACGGTTTTCTTATACGAGACAATATCAAAGTTGTGTAAATTACAGTACTTGGTTTTCCGCATACGACGGGTATAATTTGTGAATTTTATTAACAATTTTATAAAAATGGACGAAATGCGTGAAAAAGTTGAAACGTGGAGGAAATTAATACAATCGGAGAAATTACGAGATGCATTAGAGGATATTCAGGTATGCTTTTCCTCGTTTAATTTAAGTTATCTATAAACATTATCTCATTTTTAATCATTTTAGATGAACATTCGTGTGCGACCAGACAGCAAATTGAACGAGAATATTTTTAAATTACTCTTACACTTGTGTCGTACAGCAGACAAATGTCGAACAGTGGACAAACCAAACTGTGAAACTGGAAAGGAAATAGCTGAACTAACTAAATTGCTTTGCTCATTATTAATTAATGTACCTGATGGCAACAAGTTTATCAAAGTTTTGTTTAAAATTGTTCATTGTTTGATATCTTTAAATCTGTATAAGGATGCAGCAAAAATCTGTTGCTACCTGCAGCCTGGCAGTTTGTATAATCCTCAAGATGACACTATGAATCTTCTAACAAAAGTATTATCCTTATGGCATACTACTGCTAACAATATGTATGTAACTTTTACCAATAAGTCTTTAAATACAGAAAACTATAACAATTTAAAAAGTATTATAAAATATGAAATCAAAATAATTCCAATTGTACATAAAAATTATACAAAGCAGTTGATTAGCGTGATAAGCTTACATTTAGATAAAATAATATCAGTTGACAAAGAAAACAAATATTTTGATGACTTTTATAAACATATATTGGAATATTTAAAAGAAACACAGTTGTATTTAGACAAGAATGAAAAATATATAATATATTGGCATATACTTCGTATCATGTGTCATGTAATATGTAGGACTATTGATATGTCTAATATCAGGTGTACAATGAAAATATTTGATGAATTATTTAGTTATTTCAAGTCTCTTCTAGTAGAAGATCAGGAATGTTATCAGTGCTTTCAACAATTTCAAAGCTTTTGTACAACACTTTTAGTGCCAATAGAGAATCTTGTGAGCAACAGTGCCAAAAATATACAAGATGTTGTTTTTTGTCAATTAAATATTGCGCAAAAATATGGTTACACAGAAGGCCTTAAATGGAATGCATTGATTCTTGGAGAAATAATTGAATCTATGTTTAAATATTGGGAAACTTGCATAGAAACTAACGAACATGTGTTAAAGCAATTACTTGATACTGGCATCTTGTTGGAAACAATGAACTTATTTCTACATATAGATGCGGATGAATTTTATATTAAACGAGTGTCAATTGAATGCAAATGGTGCTTCAACAAAATATGTACAGTTAAGAGAGATTTATATAATGCTATAATAATGAAATGTAAATGTGTCAGTTTATTATGTAAATATCATGTTAAAAATATGCCAAAAAAAGTGTGTGTTCTTGCCAGAGAAACTTTAGAGCAAAATGTCAAACGGATTATATGTGAAATGGAAGAATGCAAATGTAAACGCTGGATACGTTTGTGGAACACATGTCGTACTTTAATCTATAATATGGGCATATTATCTGAGCATGTTTATGAGGAAAGTGCATGTTTATACTCCTTTTTATGTGTTTCCATCTTTCAATTTCAAGTAATTGAATCAAACTCTGAGGATCTTGAAAATATTGTTCCATTTGCATTAAGCAAATTAAGTGTTATGCATTATAAGAATGGTATATATAGAGAAGCCATGACTGCATCCGCATTGAATGCCTTGTTAACTTATGATCAACCGAATACAAAAGCTTTCCTTATGTGGACGACCATCAAAAAACACGTTTCTGAGAAAATTGCTCAATTAACTATGCTGGACTGCCTAAAAAATGATAAAGACAAGATAAAGAATGAACTAGGTTTATCAATTGACATGGCCAAGTATGATCTCGTTAAGTTATGCTTGCGTGAAGCAAAAAGTTTGCTAGAAGGGAGCATTTCATTTACCAATGGTGTGTCGGCAATTTTAGACAAACTTAGAAAATTAAAACTAAGTAATTGTCAATATGCACACGTGGTACAATTACTAGGATATTATTTGTTAGGTTTTGAACATGACAGCTGTATTCTGAAATATCACGAGCAAATTATATCTGATTTGAAGCAGGACAAGTCAAACTCTGTGGCTCTTTTGTGTCTGGAGGCCAACTTAAACTTTTTTATATTTGTGGAGGAATTGCATGCGATGAATAAGCAAACTCAGATAGAAATGGAAAATACAAAATTTGCTCTTTATGCTCCGAAAATACCAGAACTTGTTGAAACCAAATCTCCAAATATAGTTCCTGCTTACACTATGATAAATGTTAAAAAAGCTTCCAGCCTTGTACTAAATTTACAAAAATGTCTGAAGAAATGGAAGCAACTGTTTAATCGTGATATTGTAAGTTATGATAAGACTATTTATACTATGTTAGAGATGATTATTAAAATTTTGAAGAGTTCAAAGTAATCGTAATAAAAATATTTTATTCTCAACAGAATGAGATTATCAAGAATTGGGAACCGACTCTTGTACTTCGCATATTGATAACAGCTGGCGAATATTCTCGACTATATCGTTACGAAGATTGTGAAGCTGAAGCATGGACGCTAGCGTATAAATTAGCATCAAAAATCGATGATTATCGTTCAATTATTTATGGTATATTTATTTATTTATTATAGTGATTAGTATATTAATTTATTTATAGTAAGAGAGAGAGAGAAAATATTATTTATATGGCTGATAGACTAACATAAATTCTATTATAGTCACAGGTCGTTGTATTTCATTGAGACGAATTGATTACAATTGGATTGCCATTGCTAAAGAGTATGCCATAAAGCATAGAGATTCCAAGAATGAAAATGTAACTGGCGCCATTGCTATGTTTTGGATAAGCTTAGCAGACCTCTATTTCGAATGTGGGAAGGTGAGAGACACAATAGTGGAGAGCGTACAAATATGTGTATATAATTATTCATTTTTTAGTATTATGATGCTAAGCAATTAGTCACTGAAGCTAAAAATTTACCAAGAATTTCATTTTTTGGTAATAAATCTGTGTATCTGCTAAGCTTAGATGTCATTATACGCAACAGCAGTTTATATAAAGATAATATGCAACACGAAGATTATGCTTCATACATCGTAGAGAGTCTGTTTACATCGAGATGCTTAAATCAAGATCTATTGACGAAAAAATGTAATTATAATTAATAAAATTATTTATATCCTTATTTTTTAATTCTAAGTAAAGCAAAAGTCAATCTGTATATATGTGATATTAATAAAACCATCTTTTTTCAGATAAAAGCCAGGTGGATCACCTTTTCAATTATGATGTGGTTTTCACTACGGCAGTTAATTTATCCATAAGAATAAATAGTTTATTATCCTTTCGTGGAATTAGCCCGGATTTAGTGGTACACTTAAAGTCGGCACAGAGTTTAGGCGCGGTGCTGCGTGTTGCCGAATTGCTGAAATCACTGTGTTACATCGATCTATCACGTTCGCAACTAAATGATTGCGAAGTGAAACTGCAAGGTCTTGAACACATGTTGGGCGTCGAGACGTTTCAGTCATCGATGAATGTTGAACCTGTCAAACAAACGTCTCCTTATCTCGCTGTGACTCCTACGAAGGTTGTAAATGATCCTATCAGAGATATACCTCAGCATGGCGCCTCGCCAATACTCAACAAAAGAGTCTTCGACATGCCGAAATTTACGCTGCACACAAATTGCGATTGCCATATGTGCGGCAATGTATCATATCAATATTTGGTGTTTGCTGCCACCTATATCAGGGCACAGCTGTATGCCTTGCAGAATCAAGTCACGATAGCGCTCGAACACTTTTACAGTGCTTTCGAAATAAGGCAGAGACTGTTTAAGGAAGAAGAGTCTGCTTTGCCTGAAAACTGGCCTGATGATGAAATCGGCGTGAAGAGATTCTCTTGGCAAGCCCGATTCTACATCATCGATTATATTCATCTATTGATCGATTTCTGTTACTTTCTGAAGACAAACGTAACATCGAAACAACAGAATGCGTCTGATATCGCCAATTTAACAATCAATATATGTCACAAGTATAAATTAGAAGGACATCCCGTCTACATGTCGGTTAAAGAATTAATATTGGACAATGATTTTCATCCAATATTGGAATCTTTAGATTGTTTAAGTATGTATTCTTAAATATGTAACATTTTCTATATCGAGATCTAGATTCGGGGGAAGATTTTTATATAACAATTTCTTTGTTGCAGAGTTTACAGTCCCACAGCCAGATGACATTGATGTAACCAAGTATACGAGAGCTCGAATTAACTCCTCAAACGTTTGTGTTACCCCATCTGTTCAGAATCATCCCAAGAAACCTCTCTCGATTCGACGTAGAAAGAATCCAGTAGCTTTGAAGATAGCTAAAATCAATATAAATTGGAGCGACGACGAAGATGAAGATAATTTATCACCACCATTATCCACGCGCTCAACTAGAAAATCCAAGTTTCCAGGTGCAAAGTTAGTGACGAGAAAAATTTTGGAAGATCTATCTGATAACGATAATTCAGATATACAAGATTCTGTACCAAAAAAAATAGAATTGGAACATGACCTAAATGGAGACGAAAATAGTACACAGGGAAAATCGATAAAAGATATTATGATTAAAGTGACGCCTTTAGTTCCAGATATATCAGAAACATTAATGGATTTGATAGAGAAGTCAGATGTACCTGCTACAAAGGAAAATATTGATGAATTGATAGAAAAAGTGGAAAGTCTCAAGATTAACTTGAGTAAAACGCCAAGGAAAAAGAATTTTAAAGATAAAACAAAATTAACAACTGTTGATCATAATAAAAATGTAGATCGAGCCATCGAGTTATTGAAAAATGTAACAATAATTGAAAAGGCAGATGAAAGTATTGATTCTTTTACGTCAACAAAAGTTGATAAACAGATACAAGATCAGAAAACTCCACATCACGAAAAGAAATTTTTTAAAACTGGGTTATTAAAAGAACATAAAGAAAGTGCTAAATTACATCTAAATAATGAAATGCACAATATAAGAATGACAAGATCCAGTCTTAGAAGGGCTAAAGAGAAACTATGATAAATATGTATTACTGTGAAAATTGCTGTGTGTAAAACAATTATCTTACAAAACTCTGTAGAATTAAAACAATGACAGTATTTTTCATAGCATAATTAAATAATTATTTTTATATAACAAAAAGAATCGAAGACCAAAAAAAAAAGAAAGAAAGAGAAATGTGTACTATTGTATTGTATTTAATTTAGAAGATTAGAGGTTTCACATGTATTTATAAATTATTTTTAATAGGATGAAAATTAACTTTTGGGTTTTATATTTTAGCTTTTTATTATATACTTTATAAATAAAATGACTTTGTTCCAATTAAATACTCTTTCGATTTTAAACTCAATTCAATATTTTCGACACTATTTCGTATGCTTTTCTTCTCGTCGTATTTATTATTATTCTTAACATAAGTATCACACAAGTCCTTATTATTAATATACAATAAACTGTGGCGCTGTAAAAGAAATTAACATGTAGATATATGTTTACATGCATGTTATACAGTATTGTTTTGTACTGTAAAGTAACAAAAATTACAATACTCCTGTCATCAAATCATTTTGATGGATTATTATGCGTTTAAAAAATAATAAGCTTTGCTTTGATCTCTTCAAGAGACATTTGTTTTTCAGAGCATTGCATAGAAGAAAATCGTAACAGTAAGATAATTCCCTGTTTTGTACAAGTATACATAATAATACATTAACACATGAAATTAAAAGATTCAGAAAAAAATCCCAATCAGAACAAATACAATTTATCGCATAAGAGTAATAATAGTAAAGATTAAAGAGCAACAATAATTAATAAAGAGAACATGTATTTTACAGGATATGAGGCCCCTTTTTCACTTATAGTGGACTGTGTTACATGAGTGTGGACATAGGAGCTTTTTTTCTCGTTTTTCTTCTCGCGTATAAAAATAACAAAGTTATAATAACCAGAGTAATCACAGTCTATATATAAATGGCTATGATGATAATTCTAAAGCCATGGAACATTCGTTGCTTACGTCGTACTTAAGACTTAAAACCTCCGCTTCTTCCTGCGTCTTGGCCAATTCCATCAGTGCCAGAGCGCCCAGCCATTTCTTATTCTCTTCCTGTATTGGTGACTTGGCTACATTGTCCCCTGTCGTAATACCGATTATTTTCGCATCCGTTCTGTCAATGTCTTTTACAGTAGGTAGTTTTGAAACAATCTCCCCTTTGTTACCACTTGAACTACCAGCCAACATCAGCACCGTTGGTCTAGTTTCATTTTCACTGATATGAAAATTGGCTGGCATATCTTGATTCGCTATCTCTCTATGAATAGTAGTATGCTCAGTGTAGTCGAGATGAACCAATTCAGAATCTTGAGCTTTTGCAACATATTCGTTAATACTAGTTTTAAAAATACTCTGATTACTTGGCAAGGTACTGGGTGATTCTAAACAAGTCCAATTGTTTAAAGAATCATCAATCTTGTATAAATGTTTTTCTGCAACTTTAGGAGATTCGTTATTTCGATTCATGTCCCAACATATTTCAGAGGAGACATAAGAAGACACCAATTGTGCATTTGGAATAGTTAGTTCGTTCTCCATATTCGATGTAGATATATTATTGTCCGCGATGGAATTGTCGATTAACGATGTGTACCAATGTAACTCGGATGATTCTGTGGATCCGTTCAGGCTCTGCTTCTCGTCAATTTTGTATACAGATGTCGCACTGTTAGGTCTAATTTCTTCGTTTAGATCTAATTTTGCTTGTTCTAAGCAAGCATATCGTAGCCATCGTTTCTTTGGTTGTAATCTATCCAAGGGTCTTCTCAATGGCGTATTCGCCAGTTTGACACTCGAAGCTTCTTCGTCTTCGGACGTTTGCAATATCGCGCAGCATGTTTCTGTTGGATCCTCATCTTGGCTCTCTTCCTGACTATCCTGACTATCCTGACTCTCACTGCAGTATAGCCGCTGACTTGGTGGTTTGCGATCGAGATTTTCTTGTTCTCCTGCTATGTCCATCATCAGGCCTTTTCTAGATTTTATCCTCTTGTGATTCTCGGCGGTGCTCTTCCACGTCTTTTTCTTTCGTTCATTCTTCCCGGTCGGTGTTCTTTCCTCACGTTCCCTCGACATCTTGTAACGTTCCAACCATCGAGTAACATCGTGTGGCAACTCCATGTTCTCGGACACTGGTTTTAATACAAAATCATCCGATCTTGTTAGATTGGCATAAGGATGGTCAGGGCAATGTCTATTGGCATGAGTGAATCTTGTTTCACAGCCTGGTTGAGTACATAAAAATGGTTTCTCTCCTGTATGTAGTCGTTGATGAGTCTTTAATTGTCCCGATTGAGTAAAAGCTTTTGTGCATCCAGGATAATCGCATGAATATGGACGTTCTCCTGTAATTATAAGTTTTTTTATATTATAATTTATATTAAATTCATATATTATATAATATAACACAAAAGAGTGGGTCATTTATATATATAATGCATATAACAGAATAATCAATTTCTTGAATGAACTATAAATTAACGTGTGCTATATTATATGCAAATAAAAATTGTTTCGAAATTTTTTAATATCATTAAAATAGCATATCATTTTCAATATAATAATAAAACAAGAAAAAAAGATATATTTTGTATTTTATCAGTAGTTATCAATTTTTTTCAAGTTTGATTAATCCTGGATTCGTGAAAAAAAGTCTATATTACAAAAGTACAACGATCATGAGCACAAGGCGATAGATATTTTCGAGAAACACATGTTTTGATAAGGCACGCAGATGATTGGAAAACCGAAAAGCCCCGCTGTGTCCCTTTTTTGTTGTCCATAGACAAAGACGGTGTGTCGTAACAGAGCACGCGTGCACTGTTCCCCCTCTCTCTCTCTCTCTCTCTCTCTTTCTCGCAACTGCAAATATTAAAATCCGCGCGCAAGTCGCACGCCGACGCGGTCGCCGCGTCGTAATTTCGCGCGCAATCGGCGAACTTTGGCCACCCAGTGGAATCGGACGCGTGCATGCGTTACGCCGATACACGCGAGACGAGCCATTTAAGTATTTAAAGCGCGGCATGATGGCCGATTGGCGGGACGCGAGCGAGCGAGAGAGACAGCGAACACGCAGAACGCGGTCGCGAGACGTTTTCTCGCGATCGTTGAATAAAGTCGCGTGCATCCTCGTCGTCGAGGACTCCGGGTGAGCGAACGGCAACGTTCCCGATATCGGCGTGCCCCGGGATGGCGCACCGGAACGACGCGATCCCGAATTAATTACCGGTGTGGGTGCGCAAGTGCGCCTGCAGACTCTTCTCGCGCGGGAACACCCGGTTGCAGAATTTGCACTTGATGTTGCTCGGCGACGTGCTGCCCTGCATCATGAGATTCGTTAGAGCGTCGGCGCGCGGCCGACCTCGACGATGGCTCTCGGCGCCGCTTCTCGAACCGACGCCGGCGCCCGTACTCGCACCGTGCTCCCTGTACTCGGGCGACGAACACGAGCTGCCGGGGCTGAGATTCACGTTGCGTGCCTCCTCGCTCCAGTTCCACGGGTAGAACGTGTCGCACGGGCTGCGCTCCAACGCCTCTACCGACGGCCGCGACTCCCGCTTCGGCGTGTGCAATTCCATCCCGCGCATCTACCGCACACTCGCTTTCTCACTCTCACACGGGGGGGGGGGGGGCCCGGCCACCTCTTTTTCACCGCGCGGCTTCGTTTCTTCGTTAACGAGCGCGACAACCGCTGTTGTGTGCTGTTGACCGGTTGGCTGACACGCGCGACCTCTTTGCCGCAGCGCGCGCGGTACGCGTGCCGCGTGCAACGTGCAACTGGTAAACCGCCAAAATACGCACGCATACGCGCGAACTACGGACAATGGCCGACGCGTGCGCGCGCACCTACCTGCCATTCAACCGCGTGCGCGACGGGCGCAAAGATGGACGGGGTAAACAAACCGATATATGGTGCATGCCCCACTCCTTAAATAAAGGTAAACGCTCGGTCTAGATATACTATGGCCGGTATTCATAGGACGGTATTCATAGTCAGTTCTTATTTCAAGACCGTCTTAAGTAATGTGTTAAGATGCTAATAAAGCTCTGTGATTGGTTTAGGACATCTTAAGATTGTGCTTAAGACGGTCTTAAATATAAGAACTGACTATGAATACCGGCCTCAAAGTGGTATTCATAACGTGACAAGCTTTGTCGGACGTACTGATTGGCTGCTATTGACAAGAAACTTTAGGAACCCTAAAAATTCCCTATCCGGTAGCCAATCGGTACGTTGGAAAAACTAATCGTGCAACAAAGGAAGTTTCAGTCTTAGGCATCTGATTGGTTGACTTTCTCATCTTATCTCCCTAGATTTTTCACTATGGCGACAGGTACAATTGTAGATTTTCAACGTCTCGATTTCCTTTTCGCCTTTTACGAGAATACACGCGGCAATAACGAAATTATTTTATATGAAATATGTGAATGTGAACCAGGTATTGTAGGAATTAAGATTTTAATTGAATTCATCGTTATAATTAATGTAATTTAGACGAGTTTGTAAAACTGTCCATGGGGCGCCAAATTTTCAAAATTCACATCGGTTCGGATTGATTGCGACTTTCATGAAAATAAAACGTACTACATGTAAATTTGTTCAAGCAAGTCACGTGATCGGTCTATAACGGCAGGAAAAATAAAAGCGGAAGATATAGAAATAAAAAGTAAAATCTTGTCAAAACATGTATTTTTCTAAGCATCATATGTTTATAAAATAACAATTGACAATTATACATTATATCAGAAAGAATATCATATATAAACACAAATTCAATTTATTTATAAGTGAAAGGAGAATGTTCATTGTTGATACTAAAGTAAAATAAGATATAGCATTAAATTAATGTGTACTTAGCACGCATTAATGATCGCAATCAAAGACATATATTATATGTGTATAGTATTATTAAACGCAGAACGTAATAACTACTTAATTATAAAAAACGTAGACAATCGTTGAAATTTATGATTAATATGTAGTCTTTTCTAAAAGGTACAAACGCTTTAATTACTGAATAATGACATTTTAAGTATAATCGTAATGTCTAATAATAATAAAAAAAAGGAAACGTCAAAAAATTGTTTAACATTCAAATATTATCTTATCGTAAATTAACTGTATCATTATTTATAAGATGTATAGAAATGTTGTAAATATATAAAACTACAGGACTAGAATACGCAAACAGTGTAAGTAATATTCGTTATCCTTTTAGAAAAATATGAAATGTGCTTAATTCTTATACGAGCACAAAACTGCAAGATTTTATACATTTTTATATCACCTGTAATTTACCTAAAATATTTAAGTTTTCTAATTATTTATATTAATATTAATATTAATATATAATAATTTTTCTTAACATTTTCCAGCACACAGATGTGTGTTGCCCATATAAGAATCAAGAATTTAGAAAAAGCCTATCAAATTTTTTTATGGCACTACTTATCAATTAGTCAAATATACAATATGTCGATAAGGGATTGTAATTAATCATGAAAATTTTACTCGAAAACATATCGAGCAAAACTTTTTTTTATAGATGTCTTTTTTTCGATGAAATATTTATAAAAACATATATATTTGTTCGTAAATATTTTCAGATAACATCTTTGTATGTGTGAGTAATTTGCCTGTTATAAACCCTTATCAATACATTTAACATTTTACTAATAATATGTAAAGAGAATCGCGGTATTTATGAGTAAGATAATATAATGTTTCATTTTACTAATAATATATGTATATAAAGAGAATCGCGGTATTTATATGTGAGATAATGTAATATAAATACATTACAAACATTAGGTTATCTCACAAATCATTCCTCTTATGTGTATTCTATTTAATTAAATATAAAATATTTTAATATTTCCCTCTCCAATTTCTTAAGTTTACTTTTTCCTTTAACAGTGTTTAAACACAGAAAAGTTGCTAACCTTTCCAATTCATTATTTGAATTTCCTATTTCCTATTTTTTAAATTCAAATGATTGGAAAGATCAGCAACTTCTCTGTGCTTCAAGTAAACACTGTTAAAAGAAAAAGTGAAATTAAGGAATTGGAAAGGGAAATATTAACATATTTTATATCTGACTAAAAAGAATACACATAAGAGGAATGATTTGTGAAATAACCTGATGTTTGTAATGTATTTATTGTGAAATACTTGTGAAAACTTGCTCTGCTGTTGCAGAATTCTCTTCCAATCTTTCCTTCCCTGTCTTGGCTACAAATAATTTATAAAGAATTTGTACGATGCAATAACTCTTCAAATGAATATGTATATTATATACAAATGTGACATTAGAATTATGAAAAATTTCTAGATTTATGCCATTTAATTCAATAGATTAATAAAAACTTCAATAGACATCAGTAAGTAGACTTTGTAAATTCATTTGTTATTTTACACACAGATTTTGATTGTATATAACGCCTAAAATATTCTTCCAATCATAAATTCTTTAATTTGGAAGTTTCCTTTGAATTTTTTATTTTGTTTCTGGCTTACCTTCTTCTATTGCTGTGTTTTGGCTATTTTGTTCTTCAATTCCTTCTTCATTTTCTACTACAGCAACCTCTGCTTTTATGGAATTCTTTTTTGATTTTTCCTTTACTGTTACCTTGGCTGTAAATAATTTATAAAAAAATTTGTATGATGCAAAAACTCTTCAAATAAATATATATATATATATTATATATAAATAAATAAATTTCAAGTTCTTTAATTTGAAATAAGTATTTTCTAAGAAAAAAAAATTTTTTTCATGTCTTGTGTGTATTTCCTTATTTCTGCTAATAAGAAATTAAAATTTGTGACTGACAAAAGTATTTGAGAAAGATCTAAAATCAGAAAATCTCTGAATAAATTTACTGATGTCCAAACCTGTCTTTTTCGCCTGTTCGCGAGATTTCTTGCTGGCTACGATTATCTCTGCATCTTTCTTCTCCTCCGGAGACTCATCGTCAACCTCCGCAATCGCCTCGGTCTCGGCATCCTTACCCTTTGTCGACTTCTTGCTGGATCGCACCTTCACAGGTGGTGCAACATTCTCTTCACCTACCGTTTTCCCGCGACGAGTCTTCTTCGGCGGATTCTCTTCCGCCTTTTTTATTGCGGATTTGGCGCCAGTGGGCGCCTTTTTTTGTTCCTTCTTGACGACCCTTTCACCTGTATTGTTATTCTTTACCACCGTTTTCTCTTTCTGCTGCTTGTTGACCAACGTCTTCTTAGACTCTTTCTCGTTCCCCGTATCATTTTTCGGAGCGACGTTCTTGTTCCTGCTGCGTAAATACTTGGGAGAGAACACGGTGGCCGCCTCGCGCTCCTTCGTTTGCTTCAGCTGCCGAGGTACCGCCGTTTTCGCTTGCTTCGGCGACGCCGTATCTGCCGTCGATTTCGCAACGGTTTTCCTCTTCTTCGGCGGCGTAGCGTTGCCATCGGCAGCAGCCAGGGCAACGGTGGTTTCTGCCGCCTCCTGCTTAACTTGCTTTCGCGGTGCCATTTAGATAGATCTGATATCTGTACTCTGTAATACCTCACCGGCAAATCGCTATATACTGTATCGTAGGCGACCACGTGCACGTTACTCGTGATGTTGCAACGAACAAACAGCTGAGAAAAGCGGAAAGAACCGAGCGCTCACGAAGCCATGAAGAACGCTAGATTTTTTTTTTCCCGGCTCACCGATATATGGTACATGCGAGATAACTCCTCGAAAAAGAAGATTCTCTACTTTTCTTTTTTTAATTAAAGTTTCACGCTCTGTATATATCATATATATATATAAGGAAAAATAGGGTAAAATCGGGTATCTCTATTCAATTTGTGTTATTAGTTGTAGATTGGCGCCATCATTATTTTGAAATAAACCGTGTCCTTGTGCACACGATATTTTTTTTTTTTTTAAGTAGAAGTTCAAAATTTTCCCCAAAAAGATCGATATCGAGGCAACAATCGAGGTCGTGTTCTAAAATTCACTGCCAGTATTGAAAATCTATAATATACGTTATGTGAATTATAGATTTTCAGTATTGGCAGTGAATTTTGGAACACGATCCGAGTCATCGTGGATTTTTTCTACATAGGCCTATTTTACACCGATATAATTTGATATATACTAAATATTATATTGGCCAATCACAGCCATTCCATTCTTTAAAGACTTGCTACGATTGGCTAGTATAGTACTTGGTACGTGTATGCCTAGTTTACACCGATATACTTTAATCATACTAAATACTATACTGTCCAATCACAGCCGTTCCATTCTTTAAAGGAATGACTATGATTGGCCAATGTAGTACTTAGTACGTATTAAGTACGTATTAAGCCTATATCGGTGTAAACTAGGCCATAGAACATCTGTTTTGGTAAATACAGTATTGCATTCTGTACACTGTACATATTAGAGAATATTAGTTACATATTAGTTTTGATCGGCGCTTTATACGCCGAAACGTACAGCCGCCGTGTTTATATTTTCCTTGTGTTGGGGTAAAACCAGGTACCTACACGCTTTAATGGAAAAAACAATCGTCTTTATTTTTTTTTGCAATGATTGGACAAAATATTTTAAAATGTCATTCACCTTGTGATTTTCACATATAATATTTTATTTATTTATTTTTTTTTTTTAGATGTGAAAATGCCACGGAATTATAAGAGGAAGACTGAAAGGCAGAGCTGGTCTGAGGAGAGCATGGCTGCAGCAATCAAAGACGTTATGGAGGGGAAAATGGGCTACAAAAAAGCTGCTGTTATCCATAAGGTTCCTCAATCTACTCTGGAAGATAAGATAAAGAAAGCTAAAAAGGAAGGTCTGTTTCCTTTAGAAGCTGCCCAAAAAAGATTGGGCCGTTATAAAACTGTTTTTTCAGAGGCTCAAGAAGAAGACCTTGTGAAATACATATTGTTTTTAAAAGAAGGATTATATGGTCTTACTTTAACAGATGTACGCAAACTCGCATTTCAAGTAGCTGAAAAGAACAACATTCCTCATACATTCAACAGGGAAAAGGAAAGAGCAGGAAAAGATTGGCTCTACAGTTTTCTTAGCAGACATAAGGAATTATCATTTAAGAATCCAGAAAAAACTTCTTTTACACGCATGAAGGACTGTAACCATACTGCTGTTTAATCATTTTTTGATATATTAGAGTCCATTTATAATAAATACTAATTCTCACCTAATAACATTTATAATATTGATGAAACGAGCATCATGACAGTACCAAACAAACCATCTAAAGTACTAACTCTGCATGGAAAAAAGCAGTTGACTCTTCATCTTCCAGTGAAAGAGGCGTTCTTGTTACTACTGAGAGATGTATGATAGAATACTGCTGGTAACTATATGCCCACAATGTTTATTTTTCCTAGAAAGAAAAGTAAATCCTATATTGATGACGCTCCTCCCGGCTCATTTGCTGTCTATCATGAGAGTGGATGGATTCAGAAAGACTGCTTCATTATTTGATTCAAGAAATTCATTGAGTTTTCTCGTCCCTCAGCTGAAAAGCCAGTGTTTTTACCAGTGTCTTGATGGACATGCTTCTCCAAAAATGTGGATCAAACTTGCATGTGGAAACAACGTCATCATCTTGTGCTTCCCTTCGCATTGCAGCTACTTGACGTATCATTTATGGGTCCTCTGATGACATATTATGAACAAGAGATGTGAAAATGACTAATTAATCACCCAGGACAATACATAACGATATATTAGGTAGCGAAACTATACAGAGAAGCTTTTTCAAGAGCAGCTATAATGCAAACTGCTATAAAAGGTTTTGAAAAATCGGGAATATATCCATTGAATAGAGACGTGTTCCCTGCTCCATCAGAGACTATTGAAAAGCCTATGTAGCAGAAAGCCCAAAATGATAAGGTCCACTCTATGACATCTAAAGATGATGAGACCCAGCCATAGACATCAACATTTGCAATTTTCTCTAGCGTGCTGACTTTCCTTTCCCAAGAAGAAAAAAGGATTCAGAAAAGAAACAACAGGAAAAGAGAAAAAAACTGCTATTTTGACTTCATCTTTGTATGAAAAGTAGTTGGAAATAGAGATGGCCACTCAAAAAAGGAAACCATTAAAAAAAAAGTTTAAGACTGCTAAAATTAAAAAATTAAATAGGAAAAGAAAGCAGGAAGACAGCTCATCCTTAGAGGAGGAAAAATATGTAGCTTGCATCTTTTGCAATGATTCAACCAAGGACTGGATACAATGCATTGTATGTCAAGAATGGGCCCATAAGTTCTGCAGCAATGTAGAGCAATAGGATATCTTTGTTTGTGATTTTTGCATATAGAATACTTTGTATTGTATTTTGATTAAAATAAATCTAGATTTTGTTTTATACGTTTTCAAATGAGTACCCGGTTTTACCCTTTCCTCTATATATATATGCTATGGTATATATATGTATATGTTTGTACAACACCACTTTTGTTATGTTTCAGGAGGAAACGAGATAATGAGAATACCATGTTATGACGTCAAGAGACGCTACCGACCAATCAGAAGACTTAACAACTTTAGAATGGTATTCGTTGCGTGGCAAGCTTTGTCGGACGTACTGATTGGCTGTTATTGACAAGAAACTTTAGGAACCCTAAAAATTCCCTATCCGGTAGCCAATCGGTACGTTGAAGAAACTCATCGTGCAACAAAGGAAGTTTCAGTCTTAGGCATCTGATTGGTTGACTTTCTCATCTTGTCTCCCGGGATTTTTCACTATGGCGACAGGTACAGTTGCAGATTTTCAACGTCTCGATTCCCTTTTCGCCTTTTACGAAAATACACACGGCAATAACGAAATTATCTTACATGAAATAGGTGAATGTGAACCAGGTATTATACGAATGAAGATTTTAATTGAATTCATCGTTATAATTAACATAATTTAGACGAGTTTGTGAAACTGTCCATCGCGCGCCAAATTCTCAAAGTTCAGATCGGTTCGAATTGATTGCGACTTTCATGAAAATAAAATGTACTGTACTTTCCGCGCACATCGTCTCGCGACACGAATATACATAATTAAATCTGTTCACTGCAATTATTTTTTAATAATTTCAGACTACACAACCGAGGATTATTATCATCTGCGACGCCAATAAACGCTACAAGCATATCCACGAGAAATTGCGAGGTGCCTAATCGCGTGTTTTACCGGCCGGCACCTCTCGTGGCGCTTCTTCGTGGAAATCGCACCACTTCCCGGCGACTTTGAACAATTGAGAGTCTCTTCTGCCTTGGATCGCTCGATATTCTCACATTCGAGCTGGATGAAAATTTATGGCGCGATTTTTGGCATATCATTCGATGCGACAAATTGTAATATATGAGTAATATTTCTCTAAACGACTTGGCCACCCAACTATTGGTGGGGGAGATGGCGCGCTAGTTGCTGCAAGGCGATTAGGCGATCCCTCCCTCCTCTCCGTACCGTGCCCTAGCAGGGTAGACTGTAGACCTCGTGGTGGACTGGGTTCTCCGACTCCGGCCATATTGGATAGTGAATGTCTCAACTTACACAAGGGCTCGAGAGTAGCCGAAAACCTCCACAAAATCCTCGACGACGTGAGGATACACATTCAAGATGGAAAACGAATACACCGTCACGGTTACGAATAAGTTCCTGCTCGCGCTCGACGAGACCGAGGATCCTCTCGAGGTGTTAAAAGTTAAAGAGCTCGAGAAGGAGGCGAAGAAAAAGGAAAGGATCTCCGAGAAGGAGAATAAAAGCAAGCAGCAACAGCAGCAGCCGGACGGCCAGAAGTCCGCCAACAACAAGCCGCCGAAGAGCCGAGTGATCAAGGATGCCCAGCAGCCGCCGTCCAAGACGCAGGATCCTAAAAAGGATCAAGGTTAGTCGGTTCCCGGCCCGTTATCGTTTGTCTCTCTCTCCGGCGCCTCATGCGCGCGTTATGGCCGTCGACTCGCACCTCGTGCTTCGCCCATGTGCTCGCCGATTCCCCTCGATATTCCCTTTCGGCGAACCTTGGCGATGGCACCCCCGCCCCCTCCTCCCGCGCGCCCCTTCTCGATCGATCGTTCGTTGTTGGATTTTAGCGGAGCTGCGTGCCAGCGATAGAGCGGCATTCGCTCCTTCCGCGACCGCGTGCGCCGGTGCGATATTTTCCTAAAAATGATTTAAAAATAGGCTCTCCCGCGCATACCGGATTCCACGCGACGGTCTTATATGACTCGAATCGCGGATACAATCCGAATCGTATTCGCGAGCACTGCGGAATACGAATTGAGAGATTTGCTAGAAACGAGAGCTCTTGTATCCATCTCTCTTTTAAGTTTTTCTACACATTTTAATGAGATTATGATATTACAGGCACAGTTTTATATCTTGTATCTTTGCGATGGGAGTTTCTATAACTTTGGCTGACATTTTTATATACGCAATGTGGAATTTACGGATAGTATATATAAATATAAACAATGGATATAGTTGATTTTTATTATGCAACTTGGATAACAAAGGTCTATCGGTCATATTTTGATGCTCATTGATTTTAAGACGCACTAAATATTATATATATATAATTTTCAGATTCTATTGTAGTTTATGAAAAATATTCATATAAGAGTATTTAAAAAGTTTTTTTTTTTTTTCAATTAAAGTTTTTGTATAACTAAGCAGGCGTATCTTTATCAGCAAATCAATAAAAACAATAAATTGAGAATATTTAGAATTTTTTTCTCTGCTTTTTTCTTTTATTACAATTTTTATATAAAATACAAAGAAAATAATTTTATATTTAAATATTTTAATTTATATTTTTAGTAGAGAAAAAATCAGTTCAACCAAGGACAAGTGGTGGTGATCGCAATGTGAAGTTCTCAAATGAATCCAGAGAGGAGCGTAATAACAGACGTAATCGTGAGGAAGGAGAAAAACCGCGAGGGCAAGGAGAGTTCAGGAGAGGTCCTCCTAGGTTAGTTTCTATAAAACAAGTAATAAATGTTATACGATTGTAATTTAGATGTTTGGTCACTCTATTCTGAATTATTCAGTTTACACAAAAAGTTAATCTTATATTAAAAAAAAAAAAGATGTTTTATATATATTATATAATAGATACGATACATTAGCATTGCGTTTTAATCAAATGTTAATAGAACAAATCTTACATGTATTATATGCAATTGATGAACGAGATGTTGTCAAAAGTGCATTAATATGGATAATCGATATCCAGATGTGGATCCGAAATGTTTGCAATTGTAATAATTTATATGCTTTATTTTGTTTCAGCGAAAATCGCGAACCGCGTGAATTCAGGAATTCGAGCGAGACTCAACGCACTGAATACGGGGAGCGCCGTGGCCGTGGTGGAATGCGTGGTATGGGTCGCGGACGTGGTGGCCCACGTGGACGCGTTGGTTTCGATAATCGTGGCAAACGCGAATTTGATCGCCAGTCTGGTTCTGATAAAACGTAAGTATTGAAATAAATGCGTAGGCACATGCATATATATACAAACACACACAGTCAGACAAAGTACTTGGATATCTATATGATAATGCTCACCTCGAGGTTAATGTTTGCACTATATCAAGATAGTAATAACGTTCAACACTAAATTGTTTTTAAAGTACCAACAAATATGAATACTTTCATTTTCACTACTTTATATCTGATGAAGTTTTATTCTTAATTTTTTTTTGCTTTATCATAGCATTCTAATTTTACATACAATAGTGAATATAATATTTTCTCTCAAATATTCTCTTTTATATGAATTATATCGATAATTATATAAATAAACGGAAATCTTAATGCATTTGTAACAAAGCACACATTGTTAATTTTGTAATAATATTACATTATGTAGCTTAATTAATGTTTATGTATTAAATATATTTATAAGCTATTTCATTGTTTGTCTATTAACAGTGGTATTAAACCAGTGGACAAGAAAGATGGTGCTGGCAGTCACAATTGGGGCACTCATAATGACGAGATTGAGTGAGTAGTTCAAAATGATTTAAATATTACAACAGCTAGAGCATATACAGCTATCACAAGTTTCTCGAATCAAAAGACAACATATCTTAATTGTTAATTTTTTTTTTTTTTTCAGGGAAAGTCTCAATCAGGAAACTCAAGAATGGAATAATGAAAAACCAGAATCCGAGCCTCAAGCAGCAACTGAAATTAAAAATGGAGATACGGCCGCGGACACGACTGTTGAAGAGAAACCGGTTGAGGAAGAGACACGCGAACTTACTCTGGACGAATGGAAAGCTCTGCGTAGCAACCGTGCCAAGCCTCAGTATAATCTACGAAAGGCTGGTGAAGGCGAAGACTTAACACGTTGGAAAAAAATGTATGCACTTGAAAAGAAGAAGGAAGGTCATGAAGAGGAGGATGAGGAAGAGGAGGAGTATGACGCTGCCGCCGAATACCCTCAGCGCGTTGGCAGGCAAAAGCGCGTGTTAGGTATCGAAATCCAATTCAGTGACTCGCGACGTGGTTCTGGCAGTCGCGGCCGAGGTAATCGCGGTCGTGGTGATCGCATAAACGGCCGTGGATTTGGGAATCGTGGTGCCCCTAGGGACAGCGAGCCACGCGTGAGTATATGTATCCATATTATATAATATATATTACAAAAAAAAATTTTTTTTTGTTTTTCTTTAAAAAAAAAAAAAAAGATTAAATCATGTTGTGCATTCCCCATTTGCAGCCGCAAAATGAACAGAGGTCGCCGCGAAGTCGTCAAAATGCTCCAAAGGTGGACGACGAGAATGACTTTCCTTCTCTGGGATAGGTAGCTTTATCTATCTACTATACGACATCCCACCATTGTCACCATCAGTAAATCTACTACAGATAAAGCTAAACTTAAAAAAAAAACAAATATTACTATCAATTTGCGTTAGATCATTATTAATGCATAATACACAGTACAGTTGCAGAAATGAGATACGTAATACTAACTAAAAATTCCTTTCGTAACTTGAATGCTGCTGTTACATATTGGCATATATTCGTACATATAAAAAAATGCACCATGTATAAATAAGAAAACAAATAGATAACGATCCTTTTTTTTGCACTTGTGGAGAGCCATTTTGTCAGTAACCATTTCAAGACACTGGCCAATGAACTCAATCTTATATACTCTTCCATCGAAATCGTGGCCAAACCGCAGTCCGTATTATTCTATTTTCTGTGTACAGCAAAATTTTTTTTTCCTTTGATAACTGCTTTCGATTCAGATTCAAGAGACAGATTGAAAGTATTACTTGAAATAGATGCAATTCCTCAACATGCTTGCTGGACCATTTAAACTCTTATTTTCTTTCTTTCTCTATCTCTCTTCTTCCAGTTTTTTTATTTATGCTTTCTGATCTTCAGTTGACTTCAAGATTATTAACAAGTTTATGGAAGTTTTTTTTTTTTTTTCTCCCCCCACAGATCATTCATCCACTGGTCAGTGTTTCGAGACTAATTACAGACAAATGGCTCCCACAAGTACAAAAAAGGATTATTATCTATTTGTTTTTCTTGTTCATACATATGCATTTTTGCATGTGTATGAATATATGCCAATATGTAACAGTGGCGTTCAAGCCATGATAAGATGTGGGAGGCCATTTTTCTGTAACTAGTGCGAGACACTGGCCAGCGGATGAATGATCTGATGAAGAAGAAAACATAAGGAAACAAGTTCACTTCTGTGAACTTGTTAATAATCTTGAACTCATTGGAGATCACAGGAAGAGTATATAAGAAGATTGAGAAAAGGAGAGAGAAAAAGTTTAAACGGACCAGTAAGCATGTTTGAAGAATAGCATCTATTTCAAATAACAGTTTCAATCTCTTTAAATCCAAATTAAAGACATTTACCGAAAAAAAGAAAAATTTTGCTGTACACAGAAAATAGAGGAATGCGGGTTGCGATATCGATTTCGATGTCGCGTTAAAGGCCTAAGGGAGGCTGGATGTAGCATCGATACACGCGCGAACCTGTATAATATCTCTTTTTAGGCGTAAATTTTAAACGCACTTTCTGTTTTATAAGTTTTATACGATATTTGGAAAAGAAGAACAATCCTTCCTCTCGTAACCGGCAGGTTTTATCACTTGTCACATGTAAGATGTAAGAAACTTTTAACAGGAAGGGTATATTTCTATTTAAATAAACGCATCGTACTAAAAAAATTCATCTCTATTTAGGACATGCTAAGTTTGACTTTATATATATATATATATGTATACATAGAGAGAGAGAGAGAGAGACTTCCCTTTCGAAACTGAAGTCGATCTGTGACAAAACGTTACATTTAAGTGAAATATTTCGAATATATATTGACACAGTGTTTTAGGTATACATACATATATGCATATATGTATACATATATGTAGTTTACGATAAATCGAAAAAAGTGAGAAACATGACGCGCCGGGAGGGAAGACAGAACGAATGAGTCTGCACTCATATTATTATGTTATACTTGTGCGTTCTCATATTCTTAATTACGAACTAATATTAGTTGTTTACTATATATTTGTTATACAATTGAAGAAAATAATCGCAGTCAAACCATTCACCGCCTGTCCATCATAGAGACAGAAACAAAAGAGAACAGGAAAACTTTATGAAACTGTTTGAAGCTTAGGTACATGTGTAAATAACATTTACAATAATAAATTGTGACGATGATCGGATATCTTGTTTGAATTCGATTAATATAATTGGGTAATAAGATTATTACTCTAGGTAGGTGCATACTATCTCTTCTTCGCATTTGTACAAAGGAAAAAAAAAGTAAGTACAAAAATATATACTATTTAAACACCGCGCAAGAGGGGAAAAAAAGATCTCTACAAAAATTAGTTGAATCATATTTATGTTAATAGAGTTGCAAATTTGTAACATTTTATTATAAATTCTAGCAGTTTGCAATGACAATGCAATTGTTCTTTTTTTTTCCCAGCTGACTGAAAATCGATTTTACGTTTTTCATTTTAGGCTAGGTTCCAAAACGGTGTAAAATTTTCTCTTCGAGAAAATTTTTATTCGATGGCTGGCCTGGAACCAATCAGAAACGCCCAAAAAGTTTCGGAACGACCATCGAATAAAATTTTCCTCGGAGAGTACGTTTTGAAACGTAGCCTTAAAAACATTTCGATCTTTTGAATTTGCCGCCTTTACTCATACACGCCATTTCGATCGTATGGTACTAATTTCACGTTGTAGGATTAGTATCGAAATGTGACTATATTTTCTATTTTTTTTATACTGTCTACAGCGTATAATTTTTATATTATAATTTTTTATTTTTATTTTATTTATTTTAAATATACAAATAATTACATTTAGTTATAGAATAATGTCAAGTATAACAGATGCAACTACAAAGCATATATATATATATATGGAATAATCTTTCGATTGAAGTGAGATACAAATATACAAAAGTACAAAGAAAGAGAAAGATGAGATGCGCGTAACATGCACAGACGTGGTGATACAGATAAATACAGAGTGTCTCAAAAGTTGCAGTTCTTATTGAACTGATTTTTATATAAATATTAGGAGCCAAATTAAAAAAATCGACAATTATTATTTCTATCGTGTATGTAAAATTAATTACTATTTGTAATTACAACAAATTTCGAACTCTGGAAACGCACGTGAAAAAAAAAAAGAAACCTGTTTTTAGTAAATAATTTTGAATTTTACTTAAACAAATTCTAATTTGGAGAACTCGATATATATATATATATCCCCCCCCCCCCCTCCCCTCCCTTCTCCTATCCTTTTTCCTCTCACCGTCGCGTGTGCTTTTTCATTGTTAGCTCGAGCTCCGCGAGCTCCCTATTTACGCTCCTTGACAGCCGATGAGTGAAACGTCTCGAAGCGGAAACTCGTGTACGCGATGGACGAATGGCATTTTATTTAGACGCATTTATTTCATACAGTGTTTCGTCGCGAGTGATAATCTTTTTTTTTCGATACATTGCGTTTAGATCATTAAGGGCGCTGCTGTGCTTTTTTTTTAAGGTTACTTTGAAAAAATTGTGCGTGTAACTTTGCTTAATATTATTATTAGTTTACTGCAAAATTTGGCGAACAAAGAATTTTATATTGAAATATACACACATATTTTGTATATAATAAAATTAGGAATATATGTCGAGATAATAATTGTAAAGTAAATAAAAACATAAATTAACATGCGAGCTTTAATTTGCTAAATAATTAACCGACATTTATTATAATGTAATTTATCTGTCATGTTTCAGGGGTACCAGACAATGATCGACATGACGGCGTCTAGATTTAAGCACAGCTGGTAGTACTGTGTTAAAACTGGCTCACTACCAGCATAGCGGGGCACGCATCCCAATATCATACCTTTTACATTTCCTACCTTAGACCTGCATACGCACTGACGCACACGTGTAGCGTGTGCGTATGTGCTTTGTCAGCTGTCGCATACACACCATGAGATTCCTGGGACTTACCCAGTCATTTCCCAAATCGCTCACAGTGACGCCTCCGCTGCCGCTCGTTTATCGATCATCCTTTTCATCCATGTCCATTGCCACATGGTTCCTAGTTATACTGGCGACTGCAGCGATAGATACTCCCGCTAGCACTGCTCCACCGATACAGGAAAATAGATCACCGCATATACTGGCGCAGTTTCCAGCGGAGAATGGACAGCGATACGGACATTTTCCCTTGGAGGCTAATGCGACCAGAGAGGGAGCTTTGAGATTTAATCATCTCGCCATAGATCCTTCTATGGGAAGGCTCTATGTGGGCGCAATCAACAGGCTCTTTCAACTTGATTCAAATCTCAAATTGGAAGAGCATGTCTCAACAGGTGAGTTCTCTTTCTTCACATTTTGGAATACAACATTGTAATATGCAAGTGAAATAATTATTGATCTTTTATCTTATTTCACAGGACCAAGAATGGATAATCCACAGTGTCATGCAACAGGTTGCATGGCAAGGGATATAACTACTTCTTTAATGGATAATGTGAACAAGCTACTAATCGCCGATCTCGAGTCGCAGATGTTAATCGCCTGCGGCTCTCTTCTCCAAGGTGCTTGCGAAAAATACAAAATGTCCAACATATCCGTTAAGCCGGAGTTTATCCCTCTCAGCGTGGCCGCCAACGACGAAAACTCGTCCACATACGCTTTTATCGGGCCCGAGAAATACAATCCATGGGGACAAACGAACATACTCTACGTGGGAACGACATTTACCAATAAAGGGGATTATCGTCACGACGTGCCCGCTATCTCCAGTAGGAATCTCGACAAGCTGGATTTCGCCGAGTACACGTTCAACAAACAATCGATTGTGTACATCGACGTCAAGTATCGGGATCATTTTCTCGTGAAATACGTGTACGGTTTCAACGCGAGCGATTACGCGTATTTTGTTCTGGTGCAGAAGCAATCATATCTGCCCGAACAGGAGGAACTGGGATATATCTCCAGGCTAGCACGAAGTTGCATAAGCGATCCGAATTACGACAGTTACACGGAAGTAACTCTGCAGTGTACGGTCGACTTGGGGGATGGAAAGCAGCATTATTACAACTTGATACAGGACGCGAAGGTCGCCGCAGCGGGCAGCGACCTGGCCATGCAACTCGGCATCTCCGTGGGCGATCCGGTATTCGTTACCGTGTTTTCGCCCAGTAGAGGCATCACGAACGAGGCTCTATCACGTTCGGCAGTTTGTATATACAGTCTGCAAGACATCGAAACCAAGTTCAACGAAAATATTCACATGTGTTTCAACGGTAGCATCAAGTATCGAAATATGGGTTACGTCAGCGGTCCTATACAAGACGGAAAGTGTCCTACTGCCGGTGTAAGTAAATGAATAATTAAACGGATAAGTATCGCATAATTTGTCATTTTTTATATCGATCGTCGTTTCGCTCTCTTTGCAGACTACAGGAAACATTCTCAACTTTTGCGAGGTTGGACTGAAAATTTCGGGCGTTTCACCAATCACGGGCCAGGCTATCTTGCATTTTCCTGATACGTTCATCTCTTCGATAACCATCGCCAATACCGAAAGCCACACTGTAGCATTTTTCGGAACGAATGATGGCATTCTCAAGAAGGTTTTATTATCTGGAACTGAAGCATTCGTCTACGAAAGTGTTACGATCGACAAGGGACAAAAGCTATTGCCAGATACACTGATTTCACCGGATGGCGATTATATCTACGTATTGTCTACTTCGAAGATATCAAAGGTCAAAGTGGAGCATTGTAGTGGTTATACTAATTGTAGCAGTTGCCTTGATGCAAAAGATCCTTACTGTGGCTGGTGCTCTTTGGAAAAGA